ATGTGTTATGAGACTGTTTTTTAGTTTCGAATGATTCTTGCTGTTTGAAATCCCATTCCTACTTGACTTTCTTCTTTGTTAGATCATTAAGAGGGCATGATTTTTCTGAAAATTTTTAAATGTACCTTCTAAACCAAATTTGATGGAAGGGTTGTACTTTCTTAACGTTTTTGGGAGGTGGAATGCTCTGGATAGCGGAAACCCTTTCGAGATCAACAGCTATTCCATCTGGTGTGATCCAAATTGCCAAATACTTGAAATGAGGGTAAGCGAAGTGGCATTTCTTCCTGTTTGATTACAGTTTGAAGAGCAATAACCTTTCAAAAACAGCTTGAAAATAGGAGAGATGTTTCTCGATTGACTGCGACAAGATGATATCGTTGAAATAAGCAAGAGTTAAAATGTTTTCAACTCTATAGTGAAAACGGTCAATAGCCCATTGGAACATCGCTGGAGCATTTCTTAGACCAAATGGAATACTTAAGAAACGAAATGTTCCGAAAGGACACACAAAAGCTTTTTCCTCTAGGTCAGCAGGCTGAATTTTCCCTTAGTGATATCCTGCTTGATGATCAACGATTGACATGAAAGGAGTTGAATTTGTATCATGAAGTAGGTCGTGGAAGTGGGTAAGAATTTGCAACTGTAGTCTCGCATTTAATTTCCTATAGTCTATGCAGTCTCATCGTTCCTTTTTATTCCTGTATTAATCCACACAAAATATGAGGATCTCTGAGTTGTTTTTTTTGTTTCGTGAAAAAAAAACTGTCTGGAACGGTCAGCAGCTAATCCGTATCCCTTAAGAAGCAATAAGTTGATCTATTTCTATCGGCAGTGAATTAATGAGATAAGGAATCCATTTTTATTTTGGAACACCTAAAAATTTTAATTGACATTCAAAAAGTGCAACCCAATCTCATTTCCTTTTGGGTTAAATTTAGAGACAACTCTAGTAATATCCATTTTGGGTTGATCAGTTTCCAGAATTGTCGCCTGCGCTTGAGAAATGCTTTTCGTAATTCAAGTTGAATTCTTAGTTTTCCCTATTCGAAAAGACACAACGTTTTCTTCAGCAACTTTTTTAAGTTGTTCTTCTTCCTCACGTCAAATTTTTGTCTGATATTATCTTCAACTGCTTATTCAGCCTGTTTCCTCTCATCAATTATAATCAATTTTATCAATAAACTCTCGATGAATTCTTCTTCATATGTGGATATGCGTGGTTGAGCTCATTATTAAGTTAATTCTTTTTAAAAACATTGTTTTTTTTCCAGTCCCGTCATCGGAAGTGCTCGTCCAACACGGTGGTCCCAAACTCAACTCAGGTTTGGGCAAGGCTTCGATCACTCTCCGTAGGATCTCAGGACGACCCCTTTCATTTTCTAAGTCCAGTCACCGGAAGACATCCTCCCACTCGGTGGCTCCAAACTCGACTCTTTACCTTAAAACCTCCCCACTTTCCGGGCTTGTGAACCGGCTACTTCGGTGAGTTTCACGGCAAATCAGGCGTGGGACTCTAACTTGGGATTAGCTCCGACCTGTCGCTCTAGCACCTAGGCTCTTTTGCAGCCTTTAACACCAGAGTCGGGTGACGGAGCTGTGAGTACTAGGGTCCTTTATTGACTCATGATGGGTTTTATCAAAACCGCATGCCCTTTCCTTCAGGCTTAAAAGTCTCTCCCTCAGTCCTTTAGTCTTTTCCCAGTTACAACTTGTACGAATTGTCGTAACTGGTTTGATTGTGAAGCGTTCGATAGCTGCGCCGGAGCTCAACTTTTCTGCTTTCGATGCTCATGCATTGGCCAGAGCGACTAGTTTGAAGGGGTAACTTCCCATTGCCTCCAGCACCTAGACGTCTTTGCTGTCTTTTACGTCGTAGCGGGTACTATCAGCTGTGGTACTACGGTTCCAGGTGTCTTTGTAGCCTTCGGCACCTGAGCAGGACGATCACTGATCTTCACTGATTAGAGATGGCCGAGGTCATCTCATCTACTATTTTCATTAGATCCCTAATGATCGCTAGACTTTTGGGCTTTAGCAACGAAGCTAAGCCTTGCTCGATGTCCAGTTGAGAGGTCCACCTTTAAATTCGCGGACAGCTGCTGAGGTATCGAAGAGCCTCGCTGTCTCCCCCACACTCTCAATTGCCTTTCTCTACGATTCCGAACCTTTTGTGGTACGAGGAGAACCTGATCTTATAACTCCGAGTCAGTGACTCGGAGTTATAATACCGGGTTGGACAGGATGTGGTGCGTGAGCTTGCCTTTGTTCTGCTATCTCTCTTTCCAAATCCTCAGACCTGTGTCACGTAATAGCCACCTCAGCCTTCTTCGAGAAGTAGGCAATGGGTCTGTGACTTATGGAAGCTCTGAAGCCCTTTGGGCAGCAGCATCCGCCATTTCATTTCCACTAACCTTTAATTGGCTTTAACCCAATGCAGGACGATTTCTCGTTCCGAATTCACCTTTCGGACATTCTTGATCTCTTGGATCGTTGGGTGCTTGTGGTCTGGATTCCCGAGGGCTTCCAGAACCGACTTAGAGTCGGGGAAGATGTTTACTCTCGGTGTTGTGGAGAGTCTTAAGCACCACTCTGCTGCCTTCAAAAGAGCAAGAGCCTCCACCTGGAAGACCGTATTATGGTCCTCCTGACGGAATAACTCTTCTTCAATCTTGGCGCAGTAATAAATAGCCACGAAGGAAGCACCAACTTTATCGTTGAGGCCTGATCCATCTGTATAGATCTTAAGACCGTCCCCTTCAGGCTCCGACAGAACGTGATCTAATTGAAGTCTTTCTGACGAATGTACGCTCCAAATGTTGAACTGGGCTTTAACTGTATGGTTCCTATCCCCATCGATATAAGTGGCGGAGGACTCCAGGTTGTTATGGAGAAGGAACTAAGAATATTCATTGCTAGCCGCTAAGCCAAGAGGAAGTACTCCCGATATTACTTGTAATGCTACCGTAGTCTTATATGCTGGGCTCATTTTAATCAGCGGTCTTCATAGCTTCACGTTGAAGTAGTTCGAGAATGCTTTCATTCTCAAACGGTGACCCCAAGCACCATGCCCATACACTACAAATCTCTATAGCCCCTAGGTAAATTCAACGGAAAATATCAGGGTGTTTACCATAGAGTTTGCGTGCTATCAGCGACAATCTATGTGTCAAGATGCCAACCTTGACTCTGATATCTTTAAAATGCTGATGAAGGTCAGTGCCTTGTCCCGCGTCCCTCCGAAATATTTGATGGAGGGTATTACTTGAATTTCGTCCCTGTCTTGATGAAATCATAACACTTTAGTCTCCGTAAATGAGTGATCAGCATACTGGGGGACTTTGCACTAGTGAAAGTCAGCTTGTTCCCGACTGCATGTTCTTCGTACTGTTGCTTCTTATTTCCTCCACCTTTCTCTTATCCCAGAAAACCAGGGTAAGGTTACTGGCATAAGCTTGGAAGCAACATCCTTCCCCGAGGGGAATGTTCAGTAGAGAGTCTACCACTGCATTCCAGAACAGGGGGCCTTTGCAGAAACCTTATGGACATCTCCTGCTCATTGAATATTCACTGAGTACTGATGGACTGATGTAAATCAACCTGCAGTTTCTTAAGTAGTCATCAACTAGCCAGAATAGGTTCATCAGGCAGTCCGCTCTCACCAGGCAATACTAGACTGCCACGTACCACATGCTTTCAAAAGCTCCGGCGACGTCGAGCGAGATTACATTGACGCACCGCTTACCCCTGAGATTTCTCTGAGTCCTCAAGGCGTATTGTGTAAGTTCTTCGATGGTCTGAAGCCATATTGTCTGGGATTATTCATCGATCACAATGCGAGATGATATTAGATCTTTTGGGAGATCAGTTTGTCAAGTTCTTTGCTCATCGACGTAAGTAAGCAAATCGAGCGATAGGCCTTTGGATTTGTCAGATCTTTATTGAGCTTGCTGAAAAGGATCAGCTGCCCTACTTCCACTTACCTGAAAAGTGACCTATGGGCAGGCACTTGTTATAAAGGTAAGTAAGGAGCCAAGGTAACTCCTTATGGATCTCCTTAATTATTCCTCTTGCAAGCGAATGAATCCCTTGCACGACTTCGATGTGTTTGAAGTCGGTATCATTGAAGTCGCTGAGGTACTGTTGGTCTGTTTCCCTCATTTTTAGTTGTTCAGGAGTTTCACTCCCTGGGTCATCCTTTGGGAATTACTCTGCGATTATAAAATCAATGATACTGCGCATATTCTGTCCAGCATCGTCCTTCGCATCAGAGACATTGCCCACCATGGAGGGTGTGTTATTCTTATTCGCAGCAATGTGGTACGGTAGCTGCTAGACTCCTTGGTTGGAGACTTCCTCACTGAACCGTTCCCAGCTGCTTTTCTTTTTGGTCAGCAGCATTTTTTATATACTGCTGTCCCTCTCTTATAAATGCATTTCCGTGCATCTATTTCAGACTGATAGTTAATACAGGACTGATACCTCCGTCGCAGCGCTCTTACTTTCCCTCTCTGTATCTCTAACTCCGTATCCCGCTAGGGGACTCTTCTCATCTCGGAGTCTATTCTCTTCAAGTGATTGTTGTTGTTATTCTACCCGCGAGGTTTTCGATCTCGTCCTTTTGATCTACTCGGGGGGGGGGGGCTTTCAGAGCTTTGGCAAATTTTCCCATGTCCTTGTCTACCCTGGCAATGTGGTTTTTAGATAGGTGGTACCGAGGTAACCTCCTAGCACTTTGTGTCTTTCCGATACAGAATTGAAGATAGTTGTGATCACTTGCCGAATCAGTGACCACTGTCCAGCTTTGTTTAGCATTATCTAGAGTCTGGGTTGCCATCGTGAGGTCGATTCAACTTCTCCCAATAGTTGTTTCAAATGTTAGTGGGGAATTAGGATCATACCAGATGGAGGGGCTATTTCTATTTAGGAAATCGACGATTACGTCTCCTTCCTTATGGCTGCGGTGGTCCGTGTGCAAGGGCTTTGGACCCCACAGTTCAAGTAGATAGGGAAAGTTGTGAATTTCGTTAATCCATTCATGCGAGTCACTAATTAGATGACGAAGCATTTGGCTACCTTAAAAAAAGAGGGTCATAGTTATTCCCACCGTTTATCCTAGTTTCATTGAATTTCTTTTCTTTGACATTCGGAGCACTGGGCAGAAATCACATTGCGTCAGCACCTCTCGCAGGCCATTGCAATGCTTTGTTTTAATTAGATAGTCGGATTCCCAGGATTCGTGCCAGTTCCGAGTCGGCCTCTTGACGTCCGTCGTCAGCACAACTCCCTTAACGAAAGAGGAGAAGCTTCCAAACTGCATACTTCCGCCCGGCAGAAACATATCAGTCCGAGAACGAACCCATTCCGAACGGAAAGCCAGCCAGGCTTCCGAGATACAGTTCGACGAACGAAGCCCCCAGAGCCAATCCTTATCCCGAATTTGCCGATCGGATTTGCTGACTTCTCTTACCTACATTGTTCTAGTAACTAGAGGCTGTTCACCTTGGAGACCTGATGCGGATATAGGTACGGTCCGGCACGAAAATCATAGTCTCTATCTCGGATTTACAAGGGCCCGTAAAGGGGTCCCAGGCACAACTCATGAAACGAGGTGCTCTTTCAAGGCCGCCTGTCCCTATGTGATCATGATGCTTTTTCAGGGACTTCGAACATCTTTCGAAGAAAATAATCGTATCTCTTCACTGGTTCCTCCACGGTCATCTCAGAGTTCGTTTGCCTTACCTCATCAGAGACCGGGGTCTCTAGTATTTCGTGTCAAGTTCGGGAATCTTAACCCGATCAACTTTCGTCGGTGTAAGGACTTCATATAATGTTTCTAATTAAATACATATCTCCCCAATGATTCTGGACCGATTCATCCATGTTCAAACGCTGTTGACATGGAACCCTTCTCCAGCTTCAGTCTTCAAGATTCTCACTTGAGTATTTGCTACTACCACCAAGATCTGCACCGGTGGAGGCTCCAGGCAGGCTCTCACTCACTGCCTTCCTATGTGGCGCTACAAACTTTATAATATTCATGAGCACCAGCCTGGTATGGGCTCGACGCTGGAGTGCCATCCATTTTCAGGGTTAGTTGCTTTGGAAAGTGAGTTATTACACACTTCTTGGTGGATACCAACTCCCATGGTCACTCTCCTGCTGTCTAGAGCAACCAACACCTCTTATAGGGTCTCATGAGCATCTCTGCATCGGGCGCCTTAACCCGACGTTTGGTTCATCTCACAGCGCCAATTCTGCTTACCAAAAGTGACCCACTAGGTTCTATAAAACAACGTCCAAACTTCACTTGAGTTACAAAAGTCTCTACGACCATTGAAAGTATGAGAATAGGTTAAGATAGTTTCGGCCCCAATCATTCTTATCTAGAATTCTAATCATTCGCTTTACCGATCGTGACTAAATTTCGACCGAGTGCCACTATCCTTAGGGAAACTTCGGAGGGAACCAGCTACTAGATGGTTTAATTAGTTTTTCGGCTCTATACACGAACCAGACGATCGATTTGCACTCAGAACCGCTTCGGAGGGCTTCCAACAGAGATTCCCCTGTCTTTGTCTTGTCCAAGTATAGTTTATCATCTTTCGGGTCCCAATGTGTGTGCTCAGGAGCCGTCCACCCAAACAGAGTTTGATTGAACGGGCAGTCAGGACACCTCTCGCCCAAAGCGGAGGATCCCGACTTAATAAATTTCTTTGTGCACGTGGGCTTCAGCGAGACCCAGCGACTCGCCACATGTTAGACTCCTTGATCCGCGTTTCAAGACGGGTCAGGTGGCGCACCGACCTGCTTCGCCGCAACTCCGTCTGCCTCTCACACCCCAGAGGGCACAGGCGAGGCCACCGGCCACGGTCAGAAGAACGTGTGCATGGCTACCCGAGACTTTCCTCACCGCAGAGGAATTATAAATAAATATCTGAACCAGGCGTCAGTCGAGACCGTCCCCCGCAGACCCGGGCGAAAGGGTATAGAGGAGTGCGCTCTTAGTTTTCCACCCTCACGGTCCACTCGATAGATTAGAATGGAAACGGAGTGTGGCGTCCTCTGGAAAGGGACGAGTGCACCTGGATCTCGCATCTCCTGATGGCGGGGAGTGCATCCCCACCGTGAACGCTTCGGCGATACGGAACCAGGGCTGAATATCCCGGACACTGGACTTTGAGGGAGTACTCGTTTCCCCCTCAGCAGTTTCACCTTCTATTGAACTCTCTTCAAAATTCTTTTCAATTTTCTCTCACGGTACTTGTTTGCTATCGGTCTAACGATCGTATTGTCTTGAGTTTACTACACATTTTAGGGCTGCACTCCCAAACAACCAGACTCTTGGGAAAACTGAGAGCGAGCGGCGGCGCGCGAGAACGGGCCTTACACCCTCTCGGGAAGTTGACCCGCTCTTGAGGACTTCCCGCGCACTCATTGCCCACACTCCCGACTCTCCCTTAGTCCAAATTTCCCACCTCTAGGCAGGGATTCAGCACTGGGCTCTTCCTTTTTCACTCGCCGCTACTAGGGGAATCACTATTGTTTTTTCCCCTCCGCTTATTGATATGGTTAAATTTAGCGGGATGTCTCGTCTACATGACGTAGAGTTTCAGTTTTTCAAATTCTAAGGTACCTCCTCTGATTCTTGGGCACTCTTCCCGTGCGAGCAGCCGAATACGCCAGAGGGTGGCCTTGCTGGGGAAAGGTTCCTTCGGCCACCAGCCACTCGAGACCGAGTCCCACTGCTCGGAAGTCCTTGGGTACTCGAGCCGACGGAAACTGAGTTTCTGAAGAGGTCAATGGACCACTCCGAATAGTAAGTTTAGGTCAGATCCGACCATCAAACAGGTGAGGCCTCAAATTCCGAAAAAACTGAGACCACCATACGCGTTCGAAAGTTTAGACGTTCAATGTGTCCTGCAATTCACACCAAATATCGCAGCAAGCTGCGTTCTTCATCGACCCGAGTGATCCACTGCTCAGGGTTGACATAGTTATTTGTTCGAAAAATATCAAGTGATTGAAGACGGGAAATAGGGAGTGGTGCACTATTCTGTGCAGCTCTTGGAGCCTAGCCCGACTAACAGGTCGGACCTCTTGGACCTGTAAGTGTCCGGGAAATAAAGCAGGTACGCCCTGGTCGTGGCTTCTCTACGACTTTCACCTCGACTCTGTAATGGCACATGAACTCGTTGTCCACTCTTTGGCTCTCTTCTACATCTCTACAGGAATCAGTTGCACCAATTTTTAAGTTAAAAGTTAAACCGTTCAACGCAAGGGATGAAAGTCCATTTTTATCGTGCAGCGCAAGGGACAAAAGCCCTTCGCACCACACGACCTGGCCGTCACTCCATAAAATAAAATGCCATCAACTCATCTACAGAGGTCGCCACTGGGGGTCTAAATGAGGCCTCAGCAACCCATACCTCGACTCGGAAATGGTGCATCTGGACTGACGATGGCAATTTCCAAAAGGCAGAGCATCCGCTTCGATGCGACGACGGCGCACCGCATAGATACAACCAACTGAGCCAGACCCGAAAAACGAACAAGACAAACTAAGCGTGCGGTGTTCCTAACTCCCTCAAGGACCACCGAACACATCGCTCACCAATGTTCGAATCCGGAGACTTTCCTGACCCGAACAGAGGCCCTGCACGCCACACGGCCACCACACCTCTCCACCAGTCAAAGTACCATCCCTCTCACACCCGATCCAATAAGATCGATCGCAGTCTCCCCGTCTACAGAGAGACTTCTTAGGTCACAGTCGAGAGACACAAAGTCACACCTCGGCCCCCGAAGGGGCCACCCCAGCGAAGCAACTCGTACCTTGACTTGTTAATGGCAAGAGTCCACTAAATTGTAGGGCAACGATTCTCTTCAGCATATCAATATTGCTCCACCTCTGAGCCATAAAATAAAAGTGCCATCACCTCGACTACGGAGACTTCTCCAATCGTCACAGAGACGCCACTGGGGTCATTCGTTCAAAGAGAGGACTCAGTAACCCATACCTCGAATCGGAAATGGCACATCTCGTGAGAACACGATACGGAAGGCGAACTCAAAGTTCCCCCGGTTCCGAAACACAATAGACTCGAGGTCATCTTGCATTATTCCATGCATCTTTGTGCGGGCGACAGGCCTGCTTTGAGCACTTCAGTTTCTTCAAGGTAAACTGACCGGACCGCCACAACCGGTTAACATCGCAGCCTGGAAAATGGCCAGACCCTGCGAGACCGGAAGGGATGTTGAGGCACCCCTTCCCCGTCTTGAGCTGAGAACCGACTATGAGCTTTTCCTCCGTAACAAATTTAGCTTACGCTATCGGAGCTGAAATTATAGCAGCAGCCGACACTAGACTTGCCCTCCATTCGCTCTTTAGAACACTTTTTACCTTACGATCATTCTGATCACGTGGTCTCGAAAGAGTTCCGTATCGTTATCTTTCGTCACTATCACCTCCCTGAACAGAGAGGTAAGTAATTTGCGTGTCTGCTACCTTCTTTGGTTGTGGTAGCTACTTCTCCGGAATCAAATTTTGATTCCCCGTCATCCGCGACTACCATGGTAGGAGCATGACCTACCATCGACAATTGATAAGGCAGACACTCAAAAGACGCGTCACCGTTTCGAGCCCGTGCGATCCGCCATAGAGTCACTAGTTGCTGCCACGTAAATGAATCCCGCAGGCTGATCTTGGTCTAATAAAAGCGCTCGTCTCCCTCGCAGGATAGGAGCTCCAGTGCATGTTTTAGCTCTAGGATTACAACAGTTATCCAAGTAATCTTAACCGCCAAGGGAATCGTAACTAATTTAATGCGCCATCTGCGGTTTCGCTTCTATTGATGGCTTGTACCTACACGGCTAAATCCTTGAGACAAGAATATCACTACTGGCAGGATCAACCAGTTATATTTTTCTGATTGAAACATCGAGATTTGTGTCGCGGCCTTCTCATCTCTCTCTTGGCAAGAAGCGATCTTTCATATCAGGCTCCCTTTTACAGCACCGAACTCTTGCTCGGGCATCTCTCTCACTTCGAAAGTTCCAACAGGAGCAATCTCTATTTCCAGGCTCCCTTTTTCGAACGCTTTGCTTAATTGAAAGCTGGTCCCCGAACGGCACTAGTACCATGAAGGGTTACAGTGTAAGGAGGGGTGGTCTTCAAACAAGGTAGACTACCCCGGAACTAAAAGTTCAGAGAACGAGTGCCACATCACCTGAACGGAAACAGGTGTAGTTGATGGGCCCTGGAGCGACCACGTCCAATTGCAACATGATGATTGCTGCATTGAGTGCTGAGACAGTTTGGAAAGTTGGCCCCCGGGACGGGAGCCAAGCGAGCCCCACGAAGGGACCCGTCACGGGACGCCCTGTAGTCTTCAACATGCAATAGGGGCGCCATGTAGTCTTCGGTGGGTTCGTTTTAGGGTTGGATCTACCTGAGATGTAAAAACACTCATATAAAACCACTTAATTATGCTATCGGACTCGGGATGTAATGCCGTAGTCCGAGTCTTCAAAATTCTCCTAAGTTTGCAAAGATCAGAAATTAGCGTAGAATGAAAATGTGTACCTTGATTTGAATATAATATCATAGGCAGGAGAGCGGGGGGGGGAACTGAAACTACAGCACATGGAGGAAAGGAACGTCGGTCAGTTCTGAGTGAATTATCATGGTGTCGAGTTTTGAAGCAGGATTTTTGCGAATGTTTCCCCCCCCCCATTTCTATTTGTTTTGTTTTATTTGATACGATGTACGTCACTGTGATCTGTTTCTCCTTTTTCAACATTCTTTAGACTTTTTTGCTTTAGGTTTGTTAAAAATTTCTTTTATCAATTATAGTGCGAAATAAATGACCAAAAAGGCGTAGAAAGTAATAGTAGGCGCGAATTTAATGAATAGAAAATGAGTGAATGAATAGCGAATTCAATGAATAGAAAATGAGTTATTATTATTTATAGTAAATTCATCAGGGAAACCATTTTGTATTGTCTGTGAAAGTACTTTTTGACATAATAGAAGACACAGTATCAGACTTTCAAAAAAGAAAAAACGAAGTTTGTTCTTGGGTCCGAATTGCGAAAAGAATTTCTGATTCAGAAAAAGTAATAAAGAAATTAGAAATCGAAATATATATTTGCTAAAGTTGTGAAGACTTAGTACTGATAAACGCATCATATGGAATTGCTTTCGTATTCGAGGGGGGTGAAAGGAAATCTTTTTCTGACGCAGAATAAATTATTAAGTCTAGTAAACAAATATTTTCATACCATTTGGATAGTAAAAATATTACAAGGAAAGCAGACGTAATTTCTAAATCAAGGTAGACAGTTGTGAAATGTACCAAGTAACTCTCTAAGGATGCATCCCAACAAATAGATGACTTTATCCTTTCTTGTACTTTCTTTTCTCTAGGTTGAGATGAATAAACGAACATATACTATGGCGTACAATTAGGCATTTCCATATGAGGAATTGATTAGATAATTTAATTTTAATGTCTCTAAAGAACTTGCCATTCTGGAGGCATTGTATGATGAAATAAGAGGATCAAACATAATGGAACAAGTAATATAAAAAAAAAATTAAGTTAATTCCTACTTAGATCAACAAAGAATTTTTTTTATTTTAATTACTTTTTATTAAATAATTACAATTAATATAAATATGTATATACGACAGAATCACAATATTAAGTGGCAGAAGAAATTTTTTTCCAGCTTCGTCACTAACGGTTTTTATTCCTAAATTTATATCCTGCTAAATATCTTATATAAGAGAATTTTTTTCTCCCACATAAAACTAAAATTAATTATTTGAAAATCAAATAAAAACATTTTATGCTTCGACGAGATTCAATCCGAAGGCATGAAGATTCTACTCCGACGCTCTAACTTTGCCATTGCAAGACAAATGACATAGTAGAAGCATTGGCTTGTTTCTTAATTCATCCGGTATATTAAATGGTTGGAATGCAGTTAAGCCCAACCACCCTTGGCGACAGGATTTATTTGGTGGTATTTTGCTAAATGTGGCTACCCTGGTCCGCTTCGCGGACTTAACGTTCAACCAAAAAAATTTGGCAATTTTTGAAATCGCTCCAAGTGGTTGGGCTAAGCTGGATTTTCACCAATTAAATTGAATTAAATGAATTAATATTTTAAAAAATTGTATTAACATCAAGTGTCATACACTACAAGTTTTAAAAAATGTATTTGAAATTGAGTGGATGATTAAAAAGTATTTTATTAACGATTAAAAATTTGAACAAGGTATATAAAAGGAGAGTGTGAATTAATAGTAGAAATTTAATTAAAAAAAAAAAAAAAAAGTCAAAAGCGCTTCCACTCATCACAGGCACGATAACGATAACAAAACACAAAATCGCGTTTTTGACCACTCGAGAGAGAGGTGCTCCCTATATAGGATAAAAGAGTTTTCACAGACCTGGGTTCGACGGACACTGGCCGCATTATCGGACGGCTAGGCTAAGTCTAACGTGTCGAGTCCTCCAGGTGCCGCTTCGTAAGGTGACTTTTTGACTTCATAAGGTAATTGCACTTTTTGCGGCATCGAGCTAAGCTTAACTACGGTGACTTTTCGGTCTTTTTCTTTCTAAATCCAAATTCGCAACGAAAGATCTACGGACTTGGAAAAAATTCTCACCGATTCCAAACACAAGATCGGGGACTTTTTTTCGGGAAATTTTCGAACAATCCAAACAAATGATCGCAACATGAGATAGATTAAGAAATAATTTGGACTTTTCGGACAAAATTTCGCACTTTTCGGGACTTAGCGCGGTTTTCGCATTTCCCCGGCACCCCATCACGGGACTTTTTTTTTTTTGACATTTTTTAAAATTAATTTCGTGTTTTTAAGGAAATAAGGCGGGAAATACGTTCCGGACCTCGGAAATTAACGGGACTTTGAATTATTTTACATTTTTGTGCCATTTTTTCATTTTTATTTTAACTTTTTTTTTCGCTTTTTTTTTTATCCCCGTGCACACCGACTCTCGGAAACTTAGTTTCTTAACGTATTTTCACCTTTTTTCGATGAAAATTAATACAAACTAAAAGTTTTTTTTTTTATTTTAACTATTTTTTTACGTCTTCCGATAAAAAAAACTAATAGGAAGTTGCTTTTTTTAACACAAACTCAAAGAATTATTATTATTATTATTACCGTTTTTTATAGTTTTTCTACGAAAAACTGATAGAAAGTCGGTTTGTTAACACAAACTCGTGGAACTTTTTTTACGTTTTTCCACGAAAAACTAATAGGAAGTTGGTTTTTTAACCTATTTTTACGTTTTTCGATGAAAATCGTAAAAAACTGATAGAATTTGGTTATTCCACACAGTTTTACGTTTTTCCACGAAAAAATAATAGGAAGTTGATTTTTTAACACAGTTTTACGTTTTTCGACGAAAATTTAAAAAAAAACGAATAGAAAAAATTCAATTCGTTTTTTTAACACAGTTTTACGTTTTCCAATGAAAACTTTCGATGAAATAATAGAAAGAGAATATTTGGACAACGTTTCCGCTTTTCTAACGCATTATTCGATTTTCCAGTGAGTTTTAAGTTTTTTAAACATTACTGTGCTTTTAATTCCATTTTCCTGTTTCTAAATGAAATCTATATCAAACACCCATAGAAACGTGTCGTCGGTGTCCCAAAAAGAGAGAGGTGCCTCCTGCTCTGGAAACGAGCCGCGTTTGCTAGTCCACGTTGGCGCGGTGTGTAAATCATGGCGTACCGTGCAGAAATTACCGATAGAATCACTCGAAACTTTCAGAAATTAATCTGCTTTAATTATAGAAACAATCGGAATCGTAAAAAGCAAAATTCCATTACGAAAAATATTATCAAAAATTCAATACTTTCTGATGAATATTTACAATAATACTTATGATAAAGTCTTAAAATTATATGTTTACAAAATAGTACCAGAGATTATATATACAGGAATTTTTTACTATAATACCGCTTTTATAATTTTAATATATAATGAATGTTAACAATAATAAAACCTTATGATAGTGATAATGATCATACGTTAAACAAATGATACCTAAAACTATATGAATATTTTATCCCTGATACCATGCAGACAATAATATGACAGAGCAGAACAACATTACATAAAACATTTTTTTCCAAAGATAATCAATTATTTAATCATGATTAATCGATGACTTACTCAGCATACGTAGGTTTATATGTTAATTTACAACTGTATGAAGACTACTATTTAACATAAATCTTTTTTAATCCAACAAAATTTATAATAAATTTTTTTTAAAAAAACCCAATATTTCCTTAAATACAGATATAAAAATTATACTGCTCAAATTCAACGCAACTGATATGAAACAATTTATACGTCAAAAAGAAACTTTTTTACAATTGAAGAAAAGTATTCATATTCTAGAGAGAAAAACAAAACAGAAAAAAATACAGTATATAAGAGTATCAAAGAGAACGAATAAATCAACTTTATTTCCAAAGGGGGGAAAAGGATTATCATTTTCATTACATAATATATAACATGACTGAACGCTTGGAAATTGAAATCTGTAGTCTTTTACTTTCTTCTTTTCTTAAAGATATTGTAGCGATATTAGTTTTCTGTCAATGGCACATGAACAAGAATTAGCTCTTGCGCCATAAAGCTGTATTCATTCACTCTCCGCATTCTATCGAAAGTATGCATGAACTGACGCGAAGTGCATTTTCTTCTTTATATACCTCTCGCAAAGCTGGAAATGAGGAATAGGCTTTATTATTGTACCTGTTACTATTGTTACTATAGGAGTAAAATTAATTACTACTCCTATTTGTAATTAATTTTACTGCAAAATATACTTTTATTGTCTTAGAATTAATTTATGAAATAAAA